TCGAACTCAAGGGTTGAAATTCCTTGAAAGTGAGAAAGCGCAGTTTATAGAGAAACACACATTTCCTTTGCTAAAGAGTAACGTGTGACTTATTCTACCGGCTTCGATCTGTAAACTTTTAAAAAAAAAATTAAAAAAAAATAAAAAAAGAGGCCCAATTGGTTTTTCAAGTCCCGCATTGTGATTGCTGTATCTTTTGAACTAACCATCCTAATGAAACCAACTAAAAAGCATTTGGAAAACCAATTATTCTACTCAGCAATACATTGGACGCGATTTTGAATACTACCCCAACTTTTGTGAAAACATGCCCGATTCGACCGTTGGATTTTATGTGGGACAACCTGTATGTCAGTACAGGACGCGATTTTGAATACTACCCCAACTTTTGTGAAAACATGCCCGATTCGACCGTTGGATTTTATGTGGGACAACCTGTATGTCAGTACAGTCATATAATGTTCTTCCTTAATGTGTTAGTGTAAAGCTTTTGAGGAAGTTCTCGTTTCAAGATCTTCCTGCGAGTGGGGAATCCTACTCCGTATAATGTAACTGCCCGTCGTCTGATACGCTTTTGTCAAGTGACTGATTTGGTTAAACATCAATTCGGTCAAAGAGTCAAGCGCGTATTATTGGATGGTAATGTATCCGTTCTTCAATGTCATTACGGGCGTTGTTACTTTGAAGCCCTACCGGCCGCGCACGGGACAGATCCTTTCTCATGAATGTTCTCGTTCGCGGCCCTTTAAGTATACTCCGCGATGCAGCACTTTCAGTCTGAAAATGTCAAAATTAACATGATGGTCCGTACTCCGTAGTAGTACAGGTCTGCGCGTGGTCTCCTTTGATAACGCTTCCTGGTCAATCAGCAGGAACATAAGATTAAAGGGTCTGGTAGCCGCTACTACTCTGTATATTTATTTTGGATAGGCTATGATAATGATGCCGCTGTGCCGAAAGACACGTTCATACTGCATGTCTTGTGCATAGAATGGTTTGTGATTATGTTTCGAACTGTGTGCCGCACTTATTTTTTATTTATTTTTATTTCAGACAACCCTTAAGTAGGAGTCTATAGCATATAGGTTCTATGGCAGATGATGATACCAGACAATAATTTTAGGTGGTTTTGGTTTGTGCAATTTGCTTGAGAAGAATTCCGAAGAACTGGATTGATTCCTTTTGCCTCTGAGTTTAATCTCTTGTTTAATGCCACGGCGTGATAAGTTTACTTTGCCACAACATTTAAAATCCAATCAAATTATCAAAACCCAAAATATTTTAGTGAGCATGTAATTACATCACGAGATTGAATCGGGATCAAAAGTCATTTCCATTTGGAAATTACACCCTGCCTATAGGCGCCACTGGGAACACAAAACGCGTCTTCAGATGAAGAGAGAATGATGACTGCCAATATTTTGAAACACCGGCAGTTTACGTTTCGCCCTCCCGGCTAGGCAAAGGGAGAATTGCTGCGGAGCTTTTCTTCTTATAACTCGCCCCTGGAAGGTTCTTTCTGATCAAACAAAGTCAAGTGTGTTGATTCGGCGATTTAAAGGGACCGCGTCCTTCCCGTCTCCATGAATAATGTTTGATCTTGAAAGATAAATTACCCTGCTAGTGAGTACCCCTCGCTCGATGAGTGGTTTTCTTGTGGTGTTCTTACCGCGGACTTGACGGAGAAACCCCCGCCTTTGGCGATGACCCCTAGACTCAGAAGGAGGCCTTACGGGGTTTCTGAACCGGTCATGCATTTCTTAATGGCATGGGAGCACAGGCTAATTAAGTTCTGGATCGGACATAGCAAGGTGATTGCGCAATTTCAAGTGAACCAGTCAGAAAAAGGTCCCTCGGTGAACAAAATTTGATGGGACTTCTCGTCCAATTGCACAATCTTTATGGTTTAATTGTCTTTATGATTTTGTGCATGCTTATACAACCTGTCATAGCACATCAAGTTATTCTACCTCAAGAATTTTCTGATATTCACATTTTGAAATTGTACACTTAATTTACATTTATTGGAGACGTGGTCATTTCTTGTACTATTTTCTTAGATGAAGTGCCTCGTACAACGTGTAATGAGGCACAGCATCACGGCATGTCCGAGTCTAAGAGTCCCACCAAATCAATGCCCAGCGAAACGAAACAAGAAAATCGATCCGAATTTGGTCCGGGCCAAATGTCAGATTTCACCTTTAATTTGGCACCGCAAGAAATGAGCGGCGGAGGGCCGTAGTACACACACACTCACACGAGCAATATGAGACAGGCATTAGGGGTGGCAAATTATTCATACGCGTTGGCGCGCGTCGCCGGCCCGCATCCGACGGAATACCAACCGGGTCTGAACCACTCGTAGACGCCAGTGCGAAGCTACGCTTCTTACCCCGCGGGTACTTTCCATCCTAGGACTCCATCTAACCGTGCCTTTGCCGTCCTCTGTCCCCAGTACTTTGCCCTTCGGCCGACCCACTCGATAACGGCATTCATTAACGTAATCAAATCCTTGAACGAGGTGGCAAATAGACTGGTACCCAGACTGGGCCCCCGGCTCCGTGTATAGATTCAAATCATGGACGGTGGTGGGGCGAGGCGAATCCGTTGCCCCATCGTAGAAATAAAGACAACAACACGTATCAATATTATCTCGGCGACGAAAGCTGATCTGGCTTCTTTCCCCATACCTGCTGGGGTTTGGTTTTGCCTTTTTTTTTATTCTGACCTTAATAATTTCAAACAACAGTTGTAAGTCTCCAACCAGCTGTAACAAAATGCTTTTTGAAGTAATCATGATCAAATCTACATATGACTTTTTCTTAAGTAAGAAGAAAAGGAAAGTGTCTTCATTAACCATGTAAAGTGTCGATTCCGTCTGAACATAATACAAACATGTTTTGAATATCAATTCGTGAATTTCAATAAATAAAAATTGAAAAAAAAATTAAATATACGCATGTATTTATGCGTCACTGTTAGCAAATGGCAGCATTAGGTATATATTAAATCAATGAGTGTGTTTTGAAAATAATACAATTCGTTTGAAATGACAACCCTTCATGTGCCTGGGATAAGAATGTTTAAGGATCGTCCCCAGAAAACTAAACTAGCTTATGCCACTCATGCCAAAGACATGGGAGAGCATCTAATTTGAACATACCTAAATGCAAATGTTTCGTTCAAACATAATGAGATGTTTAAGTTTAAATCATAATAATTTTGAAATCATTTTAATGTATAATATTTGAATTATTAATATGAATGGCAATGTGCAACATATTGCGCAGCCAGATAGCCTACGAGAACCACACCTTCGACTTCCCTTCCATATTGAATTTTGTTTTAATTCGTTGTGGTTGAAACAGCACACTTGAGCCGTCACGTCAATTTGTTGTGGTCATATCAGATTGTGACAGCTGCCGTAATAATCCGAGGTGCAGAGAGAAATCATATTCGCCGTCACCAAAGGCAGTTGTCAGGACTTCAAATGAAATCCATGTCGATCCGCATCCATAATGCACAGTGTGGCACACTTGATATCCAAAAACATTGTGTTAACAAAATAGGCGAGTTGTGTAAACTGCAGCCACCTTAGATGTTTATGTTGTAGTGTATGTAAAGTGCATGTTCACTTGTGGTTATATAACCTGCCTCTTGTGACGGAATTGTCTGACACTGCTTGAAAAAGTGAGTAATGAAACCAAATTTTACATTAAAGGGAATATACAACATTTGCAAACATCGAAAAACAAAACTACCAAATTATTATGAAATACCGTGCTGGACTGTTAGTAAATGACAGTCTAAAGCATCCTGTAAAATCATGGCACCTGGTGTGCGGACATTTTCAAGAAAAGTGGTAGTTTTGTATAAACTTCCAACCCTGATCGGACGCCCAGCGTTGGAAAAAAAAACTGGCTTTTTTTTTCAAATACTGCCCCCAATTTACCATATTTAGTAAGCCTGAATTTTGTTTGCAATCGATTACACATCTATGAACGGGTACAAGACAGCTAGACTGGTTCCCTAACCCTACAATTCCCCAACGTCTATAAATTGTTCCATTCCAATTTAAGTGGGGTCAGGGAACCAGACTACAAGAACATGATTGTTTTTCTTGGTTTTTCCAGCATCTACTAACACAAAACTTCAAACAAGTCATTGTAACAATAATTGCTGTAAAATACTGATCCCCCAAATCCATCCATTTCTAAAAATTGCAGCAAAAGCAAATATTGTATTATTCCCTTCAATTCAATGTTTCTCGACACGTGAATACATGCACGGTAAAAGATTCCTGGAATTTAAAAATAACTCCATTCGTTTCAAAGGGAATTATTTTCAAAAGTCACAATGATTTTGTTTCCTCGATTATTTTGCCGAAGATCAGAGATGGGTGAAGGCCGAATTCGTTTGCAGTGTCATGTACATGTACTTTACTGCCCTGTAATGCGCCTATCAATTGCCCCCCCCCCCACCACCACCCAAGATGTGGGGATTGTCACTTTTGAAGTGACAAAATCCCACCCCTCATGCAGCATTTAAGTGACAATCCGCGACATACATACGTGGGGCGCACTAGTGATCAGTGGCTTTCCATGTAATACGCCAATATTATCACTGTTTTTGAGTTCATGAAAACCGCTTTCCATGTACACATTATAATAACAACCGAAGTTACTTAGGAATCCCCTTGAAACCAGCAAGGTTTGTGTATATTAACAGCCGACTCGACGCATTATCAGCCGTGTTCTATATACCGTTAGACTTGGTACGAGTCCTGCGGTATTAATTATGATTGGCAGGTCTTCTAAGTTAGATCCATTAGAAGTTCTTGTTTAATGGTGTTATTAACGTGTTCATTGTAATTTAAATATTCAGTTCAAAAATTGTCGAAACAACAGACATCATTTGAGAATTCGATATCATTTTTGTTTTTAGTATAGGGAGAGCAGACACAATAACATATTGGATTTATTTTTACCTGTCATTCCCAGGATGCCTTGCGTCCGAGGCAGAGGAGAGACTCTTTAATACTTTATTCACCGGATACAATCGGCTTATCCGTCCAGTGCGAAACAATACGGATACGTTAAAGGTTGAGTTTGGGCTGACCATGTCGCAACTTATTGATGTGGTGAGTAATGTGTCATGTTTATTGTGTACATCTATCATACATGAACAAAACATGCAGAAGGGCCAACAAAGTGAACATTGTTGGATAATACAGTGTCACGTGACTTACAGACGCTACGTTGATCATCTGCTGTTGATTTCTAAGGAGTCATACATTTTCTAAATTTAGTCTAAATTCATGTACATCCTTATCTTGTTTACAAAATTCTGTTTACGTACCTTTTAGTCAAGAAACGAAAACACATGCATTTAACGAAACATTGGTAACGTTTTTCTCAATGCAGGACGAAAAAAATCAAATTATGACAACGAATGTGTGGCTGAAACAGGTATGTACATGTATTGTGAACTAATAATTGATCTTACATTTTGCTCAGCACTCGGACCAAAATTATCAGTGTTACACCAAAACTGTCATTGAGCCTAATGTCAACAGACAATATGACGATGTCCATTACTAAAATATTTTGTCTTGTTAAAGCAGTAACCAATTTATCAACAACACACGACTTTAATTATGGTCGGGTTAGCGCAGAGATTGCCCTAGTACTGGTTTAGAGTTTGTTTCTCTTAATCAATGGGAGTTTCTTCCCAGTGCTTAACCAAGAATTGTCTTCATATCGTGCAGACTAAAAGTGCGTCACTTTAGTCTCATTCAGTGACGGAACTAACTTATAACATCGACCTTAGTTGTCTCAAAGAAAGATAATGATATTGATAATTTCGAGGTATGATGATGTCATCAAAACAGCTGATTTAGTTGAAAGTTAATATAGAAAGCTGTCGAATGAAATGATATAAGAATTAATAGTAGTAAAGGTCAGCTTAGTTTATGATTCTTTTTAATGACAGCAATGGTTTGACTACAAGTTATCCTGGAATCCAGAAGAGTATGACGGGATCATGATACTTCGCGTACCAGCCCTGATGATTTGGCTTCCAGATATTGTGCTTTACAACAAGTAAGTCCAAGCTTCACCTTCCAATTCTTTGGAGGTGGAAAAGGGCCACCAAAAAAAGATATTTTAGCCTGTGAATCTCTTAACTTCTCTACGAAGCATTGTTCTACGTTGTGGCCGTTGTTCAAAGGTTCTTGAAACCTGTTTAATGGAATGTGGCTAATAATAATTTTTAAAAATCTGGTTGAGATCTGATATTAGAGAGAAGATGGCCACATTGTTTTCGCACCACAGGTTACAGCAACCTTTTTTTTAGAACGAGTCTCTTTTAGTTCGTGTTCATTTTCAAACGAATGCCATGTGGAAGACTGTAGCGGGACATTGTGCGTATAGGCCTACGTCTTTTGCCCCTCCAGTGGCAGCTGGAAGATTCTGTAATTCTGAAACTTAAGTATCTGCTGAAAGTCCCAGCAAAGATCAAGTACCGTCATTCTGGTCGCCAATATCATAGCCTAAAATAGGGAAGCCATTCAATTAACTTCATTTTGACAATGCATAAATATTTAACAGGATTATTTTGGTGTGTTATCTATTTCACTTTTTTTGCCATTTACAGTGCCGACGGAAAATACGAAGTCACATTAATGACAAAAGCTCTGGTATATTCCGACGGGACAATATATTGGCTTCCACCGGCCATCTACAAGAGCTCGTGCAAGATAGACGTCCGGTACTTCCCTTTCGACCAGCAGGAATGCATCATGAAATTCGGCTCCTGGACGTACGATGGCTTGTTGATCGACCTGATGCCCCTGGGCGGGCCCGATGTGGATTTGGAGGACTATTGGCAGAGCGGGGAGTGGTATATCATCGGCACGCCTGGTACCAAACACACGGTGAAGTACCCCTGCTGTGACGAGATCTACACGGATATCACTTTCAATATGATCATCCGCAGGAAGCCCCTGTTCTACACGGTCAACCTGATCCTGCCGTGTGTCCTCATCTCCTTCCTAACCGTGCTGGTCTTCTACCTTCCATCGGACTCTGGTGAGAAGATCACGCTGTGTATCTCGGTGCTGCTCGCCTTGACTGTGTTCTTGCTCCTGATTGCCGAGATCATCCCTCCTACGTCCTTGCTCATCCCGCTCATCGGTCGGTATCTTCTCTTCACCATGGTCCTTGTCACCCTGTCAATCGTCATAACCGTTATTGTCCTAAACATCCACTACCGGGCCCCCAGTACGCACATCATGCAGCCCTGGGTACGACGCGTCTTTCTGGAGATCCTACCACCCCTCTTGTACATGAAACGCCCTCAGCGGTACCCCAGTAAGGCCAACAAGGGCACTCAGAGAGACCCTAATTACTTTGAGCTGAAAGAGGTGGTCCACAAGGATGCAGACTCGACGCGGAGTAACGGTAGGGACATATATGACAATCACCATTCGGGCTTCAAACTCAGGACACTGTCGGACGACGTGGCCGGCAGTGATGGCGAATCCTCCAAGTCCTCCGGTGGTACTCGCTTCTCCAAGGAGTTTAAGCAAGCGGTTGACGGCGTGCGGTTTATTGCCACACATCTAAAAACCGAAGAAGATTACAACAGGGTAGGTATTAATGATTTGCGGTAGATGCTGCTTTTTGTTTACATGAAATATGCCAGCAAAAAAAAATCGTTTTCTTTTCGTAATCATGTCTTTTTGTTTTATCAAAGAAGGTAATCTGGTAATTGATGTATTGGTTTTTTCCTTCATAAAAGACTAAATGATTAATACACAATGTACAATAACTCCTGGTGCGGACAATGTGGCATTTACATTGCGACAGAGCCTCTTGTGGATGCTGTAGACATTATAAGCGTCCCGAAGATAGAAAGATTTTTTTTAATTTTACGTTGCTCTTTCAGCGCCAAATTCACCCCGCCAAACTGAAAGATGCTTTTCTATTATTTATACTACACAAGTTGTTTGCCTGCAATAATAGATAAACCTTGATTACATTCAGTGTTGCCTTACCTTCGTTTGGAATGTCCTCACTTATGGAAGTGGAAGAAAATCACACCAATGGGGCGTCAAAATGGCTCCTGGTTTTCCATTCGTTCCTATAACCATTTGGTTTCAATGTCTCATCGTTCTTATTTGACGTCTGCGCCTGCAATCTTAGCTCCGACAGCGTGTTCAATACTGACAATCTTTTCCATTTGCCTTTTGCTTTGCAGATGACAGACGATTGGAAATACGTTGCCACAGTGATTGATCGGATCTTCCTATGGGTGTTTCTCATCTGTGTCATCTGTGGTACCAGCGGTATTATCCTGTCGGCGCCGCTCATATTCGAGCCGGTCCTGGAACAGGACGACAGCATCTGATTGGAATTGTTTGCTGTGCATTGTGGGTTGGTTGGTTGGTGTCGCTTTTATCCACAAGAACTAAACATTGCATCAGGTAGACAGTGTAGCCTCTTGAGAAGCTTGGACGAATATATTTATTTTTCTTCACGGAGTATCTTGTCATGTGCCACGGCACGTTTGGCAATTGCAGATCTCACGGGGAAATATACCTGCCACGTGGACGGAAGCACCTTCGGTTTGGGAAATGGAGGTCCATTTCATACACCCAACCATCGGAGTGAGCCGCACAAACTTGTACATACGCGCATTTCAATGGACTTGGTGCTTATACCAGACACTGCTGTTCGGTTTTTGCAGGAAACTACGAGAATCGGATTTTTTGTTTCTTCCAACGGTTGTGAAACCGTCAACGAGTAATGTAAGATACCTATTAACGTGCTTTGGACTACGGTTCACAGGTTATTAGCGCCCATGTAAGTTACGTGGAATGTTCAGTTCTTTCAGTGATTGTAACTTGATGCAGATACTTCTGTTGGAGGTTGTGTGGAGCTCGAATACAGCTGCAGTTAAGCTGCTGATGGAAAGGAGCTAGGTCGTTTGGTCCTCTTGGTGGCGCCTTTCATATCGGAGTGGTCATGGCGCAACACATAAATAATCTTTCTACCTGGACGGCAACTTTGTGTCGTATATGAATTTATGAAGCATTTTTTTGTACAGCTACTTCATTGCGTTTGCCATAATATTGGCACCAGCAATGAGTTAGATATGTAAACTGTTGGTGATATTTACATGGTTATCTGTCATTGAAGAGTAACCAGAAACAATATGAAACATCAAACGTAATTTTAATTGTCGCTGGTACCTTATTTATCATCTATTTATCTCTGAATACAGCATTTCAGCTTCTTTGCAAAGTAACCATGTGAGGTTGGTCAGTCAACTGAAACGTTGGAGCGTTTGAGTAGTGAGTGTTGAACTTATTTACTTAATTTTTGTTTTCCATTTTAACGTCTTGTAAATTAACCCTTGAATAACATTAGATTTTTTTAATGTATAAAGATGACTTTGCAATATGAGTGAATTATCATATACAGTGGCAGGACCCACGAATCACTTTTTGTAGTTATGTAATTATAACAATCTGGTATACATATTTCTGGCGGGACTGAATGGTGGCGTTCACCAGCGAATCACCAATCATGCTGACAGCATGCTAAACGAAAATAGAAGCAGTACATATCTTTCATTGGACAGTTTTACAGTCAAATTACCACAAAAAAGTATTCATGTGTCATGTTGCCGACATCTTTTTTGCAGGCTTTTTCTTGGCAAGTCTTTCGGGTGGAACTAAAGTACTTGTTCTGTGAATGTGTTCCGGTTTATTGTAAATATGAAGGTGTACCAATTGTGGTTGGTAAAAAGGGCTCTGTGGTGGCATTTTGTAATAATGATTATCGTAAATCATATAATAATGACGACGATACGGGTCTGTGGGTAGGCTGTTAATTTATACAAAACAGCTGGGTACACTGATGCAATTCATACCATATTACTGCATGTTAAGCGTATGTATTCTGAGACATAAAAGGTTTTCATTAGAGTGACTGGTAAGAGAAAGAAACCTGAAGGTATTGTTTACGGTTTGCGTCATAACTGACATTTGTGGTAAACCATTGTGAAGTTGCCAAGCTGTTCATCTTTGAGGTTTAACTTCGTTGCCCATTTATTAGGTAGTAATTATTTTTGCCGCTATATACTTGCACTCATGTTTGACCTCGAAGGTTTCCATGGTATATGTTATACTTCATGACACGTGGTACATGCATTGACAGAAATACATAATAAGGATCATGTGTAGTGACTTCAAATCATTGCTATTGACCAGCTGTTTTTTTGCTGGAGTGAGGCCATTGGTGTACAGTTCATAAAACATCTAAACTGTTCATTAAAATAAGTGGAAATCTTCCCGAATCGCCTACCATACATAAGCGCTACTTAAACTATATTTCACAAAATATGCGTGGCTTATTATTCGTCCTTCAATTCCCACAATGCATTGTCATTAATGCCTTGACAACACACCTCCGGTTGTCGATTCCATCCATAATAGTTTCTTTGGAGGTATTTCCCGCCTCTCAATTTCATCCAAGTTCACAAAATTCATGATGTCAGAGGAGATGCGCTAGAAGGTCATTGTCAGTTTCTATGTATATAGCTTTTGAATGTAAGAAAATTAGAGTTTACATACGGGCTTGTCTCTGGTTTGTTTTTTGTTTTCCCTTTTCACTGATTGCGTCTAAATTGCTTAAAATCTGGTTACTACATACTCTTGCTGTATGTTACTACATGGTCGAACTGCCCTGACAAACATGTATTGGGCGGAACCGTCTAAATCCACTTGTTGGATTTTGTGTCAATAATCTGCAATTCTTCCTTCAAAAATGTCTGATATAAGAGGATTCATAAGAAGTAAAGCAAAGGATTTACTTGATATAGTTTCACGATATAGTATCAGTCGAAAACTGTGTTAGGCACACAGTCTTTTAAAAGTCCCCTGTTTAACCTTTTCCGTTTTCTGATGGCAACGAAAGATTGGAAGACAGCATCACACGTAATGACCTTTTTAGATTTTATTTGTATATTTGCAATTTGTTTAGTAATATGACTGATTTTTTGTTCTCTATTTACTTGCTTATGCTGTTTTTTGGCTGACGGTCTAGTTAGACCATGACAATGCTTTAATTCATGAGATATTTCTTCTAAACTTTGTGCTGTTTATGTACGCGTATAGACGTACACCTGAGTTTGAAAACTGGTTTATTGTATAACCGCCGGTCGGGTATTTTCAGGTTTCCAAGAAGATTTCCATTTACTGCAAGCGGTGGAGTACAATGAGGAAACGCCCTATTCTGACTGACCGTAGGATTTGTACTTTTCATAAATTTATTCTAAATTGATTTCCGTAGGTTTTGATGTGAGCTCGGAATATTATTGAGGCACACAAATTAAGCTAGTTCAAATGCTTAACGCTAGCACGAAGGTACAGAAAACAGTGGAAATTGGCGAAAGTCCTCATGATGTTCAAATTCAGAAACTTGATTTTACTGAAGGAAAAAACTGTAAGTTGATCAATTTCCTCTTCTTGTTTTATTTGATTATTTAAAAAGTACGACCTGCCGTCTATCTATGCCATTGGACATTGGTCAGTCTTGCTTTTGGTTCATTATATACTTCCAAGAGAATGTTGCTCCACAAAAGCAAATAAAGGGACATGAATTTAAAGTCGTCCTAGTCATTTTACTTTGAAGGCGTTTGAAAGCATTAAAGGCAACATGCAACATTTGCAAGCACTAGAAAACAAACTTATTATGAAATACCTTCCAAGGCATCCTGTAAATTCATGGCACCTGGTGAGTTGACATTTTCAAGAAAGGTGGCATTTTGTATGAGTTTCCAATGATGGTCGGCCGACCATCGTTGGAAAAATGTGCTTTTTTTCAAATAGTGCCCCCAATTTACCAAATTTAGTTAGTGCACATTTTGCTTGCAATCGGTTACAAATCTGTGAGCGGGTACAAGTCAGCTATATTGGTTCCCTGACCTTACAATGCCCTGACGTCTATAACTTGCTCCGTTTCATCAGAGGTGGGGTCAGGGAATCAGACTACAAGGACATAATTTTGTTTCTTTGTTTTTCCAGCATCAACGAAGACAAAACTTTAAACAGGTCTATGCAACAATATTTGCTATAAAATATTAACCCCCCAAATACATCCCTTTCTGAAAATTACAGCAAAAGCAAATTTTGTATGTTCCCATGAACAGTTAAAATTCAGCTTTCAGCAGAACCTTTCCCACTGTGCAAGTTCAATGCAACACTTGTCTTGTAAATGTCACCCTCTAGCGTTGAAACAACGATGGTCAAATTGTTAGCTGGGATGTCAACCTTGAACCCGCAGGCGAATGTTTAGATTATTTTGAGTGGCTCTGAAAAGGCCGAACTTGCCATACGGATGTGTTGGAATGCTTTACAACCAATCACGACAGAGTATTCTGACCTAAGAAAGGAGTCCAATTTGATGTGAGCGCCCCCAGTTGCTTTGTACAAAGCAAAATGTAAATTTGACATGTGAAGGCTTTACGAATAGTCTGACCCCTGGCCGGACGGTTCCTTGACGACCCTTAATAATCATTGGTCATCCGACAACAACTTAAAGTCACTGACCTTAATGCACATTCGTAAAATTATAAAATTAATGATGCAATTTGAATAATATATCACGTGATATACGGTTGACTTTGTAAGGTCTTGAATTGGAGGTCAATAAAGGCGATTTAATCAATATTGAAGTTTATGTGATAGTAAAAAAAAAAATTACTTCTGAGAATCAGATTAGAAGAAATGAAGTTCTCACAAGCTGCTATGGCGCCCTCAATCCCTGAAGGGAGTAGACACCACAAACTAAATGAACAACTTGACTGCAGATGCTGTGCTGCCACATCGTGTGAATTCCTTTCTGCAGACAGGTAGAGGCGTTCACCATAACACGCATTATGTAAGAAATATATCACGTTAAGGCAAAATCATACTCTATTTCCAGGATATCAAATCAAATAACACGTACTGTAAATCTATCGCAAAGACAAACTCGCTATTACTGTTTTATTCGGTGATAAACGCACCATGTTATATAGTTAAACATTAAAACACACTTGCACGAAAAGAAATTCCACCAGGGAAAGGTTACCTGTATAACTCTTTAAGGTATCTTCATATCTGAATGTTACAATAATGTAAAATGTTAAATGTAACATCATATTGCAATAGATGTTTCAACTTTTACAATTACATGTAGTAAACTTTTAAAGCCATCAAATAATTCAAATACAAAAACAGTCCTTGTTAATTCATATGTTCCATTGTATCAACTTCAAATGAAAGGTTCAAAACACCCTTTTATACTACACATTCAAATCCTCAGCAAAAGCTGGAGTTTCCTTCGAAAGTGTGAAATCGTGTTTCCATTTTGAAAAAGAGGCAAAGATAGTTTACCAATAATAAAGGGATACAGTTATGTACGTTTGCGATCACGAATCAGGTTTTTGTATAGTGCCAGAGATATGTTCCTTTTGAGGTAATTTTTAATGTCGATCTGTAAATTTTCGGGAAAGGTTTGCATTTTAATGATAAATGCAGGAACTGTTAGTGCTAGAAACACTTTTAGGAGCCTAGAGGCCTAACGAGCCTAACTTCACTCGAGGCCTGATATATTTGTTTTTGAAAGGTGGACGTGGATCTTTACACTTTCTGGGAAACCTGGAAATAACGTTTACCTTTACAAAACATGTCAAAAACCTGTTACATGTACATCTAGGCAACACCTTGGAAAATCTTTAATATATACATTTACAAGTTTGAATTGAATATTTTACAAAGAAACGAAAAGTTACACGCCATGAATAGTTTGACCTGCAAATGCCCTCAACCGTGCCCGCAGTTATTCAGTCCGAAATAGTTACAACAGATTCTTTTTTTTACAACAATGATTAATTCATTTACTATTTATTATGCGAGACCTATAGTCTGAAGAATTTTACAAGACACCCAACAGTTGCGTCAATGTTAGATCAGACACGATGACAATAATAGCCAACGGTGACTGAGTGGTTGCCCGTCCTTCTTCAATGAAGCTCTTTAGTCTTCCTCACTGTTAGAGGTCCCGAGTCGGATTGGCTGGAGTCAAAATGACACATCTCTGGATTACTTGTCCGGGCCATTTGACCCGGATAGTGTCGACTTTGACGCGGTAATTTGTCAGTTTGTCGCCTGGACTGTTATAAGTGCATGCACAGACTACACACGGATCTAATGAGCATCAACGCACTGAAAATTTGCCTGGGTTATTTTACCCAAGAAAGGGTGAAAACTGGAACTACCCAAACTCGGGTTGTTCTATAACCAATTGTTTGGGTTAGAATTTATGTTAAATTCAACCAAAAGTTGTAGTCATACAAGACTAAATTAAATTTGGTCTTGAATGACCACAAGTTTTGGTTGAATTTAACAGAAATTCTAACCCAAACAATTGGTTATAGAACAACCCAAGTTTGGGTAGTTCCAGTTTTCACCCTTTCTTTGGTAAAATTAACCCAGGCAATTTTTCAGTGCGCACACGCAAAATTCAAGATACATCTAACAAATTTCATCTTTACAAAATCAACAATTATGGAAGCATTAATCTTTTTGCACTTTTGAAATGTTCAATTCAAATCGACTGCTTCAATCATTATTAACTTTAATACAATGGTGAATTTATACAGTCCTCGAATCAGATGTTCTGTTCAACAGATTACCGACGGAACTCCATTTTCCATTTATTTAGTTCATTAAGTTTGGGCTTAATTTATTCAATATTTCTACATTCTTGTTTGTACTAAATATGTTTCTCTTTGTACGTCAGATCCTTAAATGAAATATCGTTGTTAAACTTCAGTTGGTGTTTTATAAACAATCGTAATTCTACATTACAAAATTATGCGATACAACGCTCAAAATTCTTTACTGATAACGACTACAAATGAGTAAGGACTGACATATTGATTAATCTATGACTAGATTGAACCGTCTTATCTAAGAAGGCCTATTGTGACATTAAGAAATGACACATGCATTTTTGTTATTAATCATCAGAAAGACAAACCTTTTTCGTCACATTTACCCAGTGGCGGATCTTAACCGCCCTCTTGAGCTGCAAATCATGCAGAAAAACACAGCAAAATGCCTGCTCACCGCCACCCCACCCTTCTTGGCAGCTAACCCCCCCCCCCCCATCAAAACCTGGATTCGCCCCTATTACCATAAATAAATTAGTGTTGCGCCCTCACTACACCAATACATTTTCGAAATGTTCACTTGGCCTTTCGCCTTTCACTACTCATGCTAACGTCCGTATGGTGCCAACTTCCCTCTAACCCCTAGACTTTATCCTTCAAGGGCAATATGAAACTATACCCATAAACCTCCTAAAAGAATCTTACTCTTATGCGTTCACAAACTACATTTGGAAGATATTATTGCGAAACCAATCCTGCACAATCAAGTTGCACATCCTCGTTTAAAAAGTTTACTTGTAAATCGTACTGAAAGACCGTACAAAAATAGCCCAAAGCGTCGAGGCATCATCTCCTTGAATTCACAGTCACTCTGAATACTCCGCAGGTCTGATAAACCTTGCCTTCATCGAGTACTGATGGACAGTCTCTCTGACCAGCCACTGTTATAACGACAAAATTGCCGTTAAAATTTGTTATGCCTGATTTGCCAAAATTTGCCAAATTTGGTACTGCGACAAATCGTCAAAACCCCATTCAAAACGCGTGTTGTAATTCTTTCTCTTCGAACACAGCACAAATAGTGCCAGTTGGATGGGCTATAACACCCCACACAGCTTGAAGGGGCTATTTTCTCTGCAACCGGCTGGAATATGACACTGGTGTCATGTACCTTTAGTTCATCACCGCATTGAAAGACATTCACCGCACATCGAGCCACCGCGGTACCGAGCAAGCACGACCGATACCCTCAACACTTATCTTCCAAAATTCGGTGCGGTATAGAGTAGGATGAAGGTGACAAGCAGGGTAGCGATGCTGAAGACGACAAGGCAAAGCCGATCCACCACCATGGCCGCAAACTTCCAATCAGATACCACCTCATCCTCCGTCTCCTTCTTGCGGTACCTATTGGTCAGGAACCGAAGTTCGTCCAGGATGGGGCCTTTGTTGCAGCACGCCGGGCAGCCCTTGTGATCCACGCTCAGCATCGGCTCTACCTCTTGCCCATCTCCCGCGCCGGTAGCATAATTGGCGTACTTGACCCCGATGGCGTCGGTGGAGTTGAGGTAACCGTGACAATTCCCCGTCCGGATGCCGTTGCGGGTAGCTTGCTCCCCGATTCCCGTGGCTCGGTTGCGAAGCGGGGACCTCTCCACCATTTCCATGTCCTTCTTCGGCTTGCCCGTCACGTGATTTTTTGAGAAGCAAGGATTTGTTATATCCTGACCTGGGCGGGTCATGCGCAGTATCCACGGGAGGTATTCCAGTAAGACGCAACGTAGCTGGAGAAAGTGAAAATGACAGAAAATTACACTCACCGATATTCTCAAAAGGTATGACTTGTACACATACAATACCAAAGGGTATGGAATGCATTTGACAGTAGGTTTACCTCGATTTAAATATTTTGAAATCCAACGGTAAGTCTGTCGGTGCTTTTGGGATTTGGTACCTTGAAAGATGAATTTGAAATTTACTTGCTAATCTTTAGTAAAAGATTTATGAACTTTCGATAAGACAATCGACCACTATTCTTAAGTAGTAGCCTGACTTCGACATTTCAAAAAATCATTAAAATACTGACATTGCAACACATTTTGTTAACAATAAGGTTCGTTGGTTTCGCATCGGTGTAAAAAAAAAGTAATCGGACGCTCCCTGTATAACTTAAAGAGCGCCATCAACCGTGAGGTATGAGACAAACTCAAGTAAAAGTCACGTACCCATCCATGCATGCTGTGCGTGTTTGGATTGCGGAAGTGAAGGTTCAAACTGACGACCGTAAAGACGACGGAGAGCGCCACCAAGACCAGCACGCAGGTGAAGTATTTAGCTACAGAGGAGTCAAATAGAAATATTAAATGGAATAATGAGAAGATAATCCATTCAATATACAATTCTCAAAGATATCAAGGAAATACTCTCTACGTGGCTTTCAAAATGCCGTCCCTTATTGGTCTGGAAATCTCCGATTGTCGTGAAAGTGTGAGATACATTTTTTAAATGCGTCAGTAATGAAAATAAATTCTTCGTTTCCTTTTCTTAGTTAAGTTGACTTATTTATTCTGGAACATGTTCGGGTGAATACAAAAACACACATTCTTCTTTTTGGTTCGGAGAGCTTACAGGAAGTCCGAAAAACAAAGGTTCGATTTTTCTCGCCCGTTGTGGGATTTTTAGATACCGTGATCTGAGCGAATCGTTTCTCACCGATCAAGGGGATTACGAAAGACGTTTCGGGCATGTTTGAGGCGACGATCATCATGAAGACTGTCAGTGACAGTAGGATGGTCACACCTGTAGAAATATAACCAACAACACTAGCTTAAGTTGCGTCTACTGTACTAATTACGTGATTTCTTCCACCACTCATGACACAGTTTAAAAAGTCATTCAGATAAATTTTCTCTCTAGGCCACACAATTGTATCATGAATCATTTATTGTGGCAATCCATCCTGGTTGTATTTGTTCTTGTTTGTCCACTGGCACTTCATTTATCTAACTCACGGGTCTCATTATTTATGACATCACGTGAAAAGGCACATTATTCCTTAAACGGAACGTGTTTGCTGCCACCAAGTGTTTAATGTAACCTATGATGGCCTCAACCCTCCCATGCCAAATTGAACCTTTCTGTTATAAAGATGTCGACCCGCATAACTTCGTCGACCCTCCCTATTCATGTTTCCCACCTGGTCTAGATCGGGCATGCTGCCAGGATGTGTTGGCGACTGAGAATTTCCGCCAAAATGCTTGGTACGCATGTGCCCAGTGATTGACAGGTTCTCAACAATGCATGTTTTGACTTTTGGCGAGCTTATGTGTAATCAAATGTTGTGAATAAAGGCGCGTCGGGCACGCTCAATTAATTAAACACAGCTGTAGTGTCAGTCTTCCATACAGAATTGGGAATAAATAAGTACCCTCGTTTTACTATTGTTCTATGTTGGTATCGAAAGCACTAATAAGCCCCAATGAACTTCCGGTTAGGTCGAGTAAAATGGAACAAAAAAGTAGTTTCTCGTCCGGCCTTTTTGAAAAAAAAATTAAGGAGGCGGCCTCTTTTTATCTTCTCTTTTTTTCCCCTAGATGACGGATTTTGCAAGTCGGTGGATGGATTCCTCAATTTTCTCGACGATTTTGCTGATACAAATTTTGCCTAAAGGAGCCATAACCCTTTCTACAGAGCTAAAAGTTTGTTGTAAACAATAAAAAGACAAAATATTGACATTATAATTATGTTCAAAATATATCGCACATGTATGAATAAAAAAAGGAGGCGGCTAGGGGAAAAAAAGGAAGCGGCTTGGAACGAGATACTTGCTTATGTTTTTAATACTTGGCCTTTGACTTTTGAAATAAACGCAATGTGGAGAAGAATATTGCAAAATAAATTTAAAAAAATATCCAAAAACAATTTTAAAACTGGTATTATTACTTTGGAAGTCAAAAGAAAAGGACCAAGTTTTGTAGAGAAAATTGGCTAATGCTTTTTTTGTTTCCCCTTTGGTGTTTTGTATTTTTATTATTATAAACTAAATAATAGCTCTGCATGGAAACTGTGTACAATGTTGCTCATGTGTTCTTTCTTTTCTTCTCTCTTTTTACTTTAACTGCAAAATTAAGAAGTATAAAATCTGTACCGAAAGACAATTTCTCGCCGCTGTCTGGAGGCAGGCTGAAGCTAAGCACCGTCAGCATAGAGATAAGCACACACGGGATGAGCACGTTGACGAAATAGTAGAGAGATCGACGACGAATGCGGAGTTTAAAGGTCACGGCAACGTAGGGGGCGCCCTCGAAATCCTCGACCTCCCGCAATGCCCACATACCTTTAATTAAAACAAATCGTTTAATAAGTTGAGCTTAAAATAGTAGTGTTGAAAGTAGAAATAGTGTTGTGTAGGTACGTAGTTGAGTTAAGGTATGATGTGTGATTGTTTGTAGGTAATACGTGGGACAGTCTTTGTTTAATATCAGTACACGTCAAGCGACCACAATGAGAAAACAGTGCTGAGGCGGGGACCTGGGGACCTGGGGCCAATTTCACGGTGCTGCTAAGCACAAACATTTGCTTAGCACAAAAAAAGTCTGGCTTATAAAAGCAGGTTACCAAAACTCCGTGTGATGTATATTGCTCTTGAGTAGCATTGAGCTGTTGTTTGCGATAGCATGAAAATCACGTGGAGTGTTGGCTGGTTAACTGCTTTTATAAGCCAGACTTGTTTTGTGCTAAGCAAAATTGTTTTGCTTAGCAGCGCCGTGAAATTGGGCCCAGATCTAAAGCAAGTTCGAGCACGAACTGTAATCAACTGAACCTCTAAACGTCATTAGAACTCGGGGCAGCCACTGGGTTAAGCCGCACGTTTCGCTGGTCACTAACAGCCGCGCGTGTCCTAATGAGCAGGGAGTCATGGTCTAGGAGATTAATTTTTTGATGGCGTTCGGCCATCGTTGGACCATAAACGGGTCATCGCAACTTCCGCTAAAGGGTTCTACATTGTGACACTCCTCCACGATTAGTCTTTTTGTTCAGAAGTTTAACATGCACAGCGACATTGTGAACTTCAAGAATGCTTACGACGTGCACCTGATAGTGGTACCCGCCCAATTTTGTCTGTTATACTAATTGTTGTCACCTGATTAGTTCATAAAGCAGGTTTATAATCGAAGCAAATTGTCAACAATATCTTTTATCGATAGAAATACCATGCATTACTTTTGGGTTTTGCGGATGTGAGATTTGAATGAAAATGCCATGTTAAAATGCGTTTTAGCCAGTTTTAGCCATGAAAGATTGTTTTGCTTCGTCAGAGGACGTAAGCAAGGACAATGCATTGCCGCTCAACTTGATTATGGCATCTGTCCCTAGACTTGTAGGCTAGCGTCGGCCTTACTCAGCATCTGCCATTCTCCATTCTCCGTCATGGAATCAGTGAAGGTGCTATCGTTCCTGGTGACCAGGTCAAGTGCAAAGCCGTCATAGGTCCAGGAGCTGAACTTGAGCGTGCAGACCTGCTCGTCGAAGGGGAAGTACTCCACGTCAATCTGACAGGTGCTACGGAGGATACCGGGCGGGATCCAGGTACAGAAACCAGACGAGTTGATCAGGACGTTGGTGTGGTAAGTCGCATCGAAACCATCGTCGGCACTGCGTAAAGGAACATTACACTATACGTCATTTGACCAAAATACAATGCCATTTAAACCCTTCACGATGTTGAGTGGAAATAGAGACTGTACTGGATCAAGTACAAAGTATAATTATAATTTGACCAAAATACAATACAATTGTGCTATTTTTTCTTGAAATATTTGTATTTCTCGTTGCTAGGTTGAAAAAGAGGATCTAATCATAAATGGCATGCTTAGTCATATTGTTTTAAATAGCTTGGTCGTTTGAATGGCCACTTTTTAGCTTAGTAATTTTCTTAGGCCTGTTTAGGTATGGTGGACACAACATGAGCCTGAGGGCGCTAAATACATTTACCAAATAGCACCCTCATGTGTCCGCCTCGTTTAAAAAAAAATATATAACAATGATGCTCGACACGTGAAGGTCTCATTTTATGTCCAAACTTTCCTATGTAAACAAAGATGATTTGTGTTAAAATCTGTATGGCGACGGGATGAATTATCAGTCCAAATCAACGATCTCACCACGGGATGTACTTACTTTCAAATAGACCTTAAATGAATTAAGAAACATTAATATTTTGAAGAAAAAAAAAAGAGGGCGCACTGCTAGAAGTCAAAGAACTCGAGTTCGTTCCAACTATTTGAGTAAAATACTAAATATTGATTGTGAGTTTGACAACATAAACACTCCTAAAGGAAAGAAGATGCACTTGAGGCGGAATTGAAGCATCAATTTACAAATGATTGTCAAGCAAATGATACTCGCATCTTGTTATTTTACGCTGGAGTTATTAGAACAAGATTGAACGTATTGAAATAACACCACTGCGGACGAACGCCATAGCCTCAGGCATTGCCCTGGTACATGACTTTCCTTGTGACCGCCTGGGTCAGGTTTGCTGTCAACATTGTAGGTCATGTCAGAACGGAATGGGATCGCGGAGGCGGTCTGTAAATTGAACTGGAGGAACGTCCTTCTTCAATTCTACTTGGGGCATTAAAGACATATGCCAAAAGTACATCCTGGAGAAGGAATGGCGTCTTGTTTAGACACTTTTAAACGTCTTGATAACACACAAACTGAATACTCTAGGTCCGGACGGCGTGTTGGATTATAACCTGATTGCTAGGTGCAAGAGTATTTGGGCCGAAGTTGGGTTCATAATCAATTTGCAATGTACAGTATGCCGCAATATCTACGGTTTCGACTTTTTCAAAACTGTCCAACAAAACCTAGCCAAAAAGCGACTTTTTTTTAAAGTCAGAAGTCTCATAGCATATCTCTAGGTTTTCCTTTTTCAGATGACTTAAAACAGGACAGTGTAAGTTGCTAAAAAAAAATGCCCACGCACCATGGCACTCGCGCGACATAAAGAAAACGGAACAGAAATTTTAAATGCAAATGGTTCGTGCTTCTCCCATCAACAATGAGTTCAATAAAATATCAACAACTCTCCGAATAAACGCAGCATTGGTTCTGACTTATCACAACTAGAGCTGTGAATGTTATGGGTATATAGGAGTACTTATTTCGTTATTTCAAACCACACAAAGAGCTCGGAGTTTTCTCGATCTCATTAGTATGTGCGGCTGGCTTCGAATAAACATGTTACATCTTTAATATGACACGAGAATGCATCGTTTCCCTTGGGACGGTGGTGTGATTTTTTTTCGTACAGCAAGCCAGACGCTTATCCCCACACGATACTGCGCCGGGTGCATCCTTGCAAAGACTTGCCACAAGTCTCCTCGTTGGATTTTGTTTTCTATCATTGCACAAAGAAGCGATTTCACAGCTGCCAACCTACCGTATCGAACATCATCCTGGCACTCATGGCATTTCTAGAGGTGCCTCTGGTCTATGTTTTTGTATCTTTTACAATAATTTGTTTCGGCAACCAATGGAAGCATAGGACCTCGGCAAGTCTTTCCCGGGTCTCTATACGCCTGCAAGAGCACGCAAGCCCAGCCTCCCTCTTCAGTCCACCTTCCGTGGCCGTCGGGTCGTTGTTGATACGCCGGTCCAGTAACTTGACTTTCATCGCTGGGAGTGGATATGTTTTCTCAAGCCGCCATTTGGGAAAGGGTGTCGGGTATCCGAAGAAGAACCCACCTGCCTCTAAGAATCCCACAAGATGAATGCAAGCGATCCCCCTGATTCCCCGTAGTCGTGTCTGTCCTCAGGATGTCATCATATCGGACGTTTGTGTAGTAAACATTATTTTCGAGGCTTGACATGGTGATACTGATAGCCGTGATTACGAGTTATACTCAAGTAGGACATCTTATCCTACCATGGATATTCACATCAGGGAAGAAGAACCAATCTCCGCGGCCCTTCAGATCTTGCGGCAATTGTGCTTTGTCCATCGTTAGCAGAAATGCCGGTAGAGCGCAAAAAACCTACGTTGTCTTTTTCAACAAGATGAAACAGTACACTTTTTATAAAGCTTTCTTGTGATTTTTTTTCTGAGTACGTTCCAAGATGTTCAGGTAACGGTCATAATAAGGAAGGTGCTGGGCAAGTGGGGCATACACAGATATCGTCTACCGGCCACTTTACAAAAAAAGCCCTACAATCTGCCATGTTCGGAAATGGCACCCTTGCCTCCAGTTAATTAAATAACAACATATACACGTGTAATGACGGGCTACTGTGAGGAGCTGACTGCGGGTTGATCAGCTGGTATCTCTTCAAATCTAACTACACTTTTATTTAGATGTGTCGATTTATTCCAATGAAGGTTCTTTCTCTACAACCCAAAGATGGTATCGTTAGTGCGCCCTCCATCGCTTCAGTTATGAAACAAGCTCAAGGTTCTGAATCTTCACAAACTAAAGCATGCTGGAACAAGTAGGCTGTGCTCATGGACCGTTACAAGAGAAGATAACTTCTTGAACTTTTTATTTTCCCTCATTTAAGCATTTCCTGCCTAGCATCTTCTGTTATTTTCTTTGAAAGTTTAAATGGAGGCAAGGTTTGACTTTTTATGGAGTTTGCACTTTTCTCGGAAGTGACAGTTTCTTCCAATAAGCCGTACGGTTTATAGTTAAGAAACGTATAAAAACAAAACCTACAATGTCATAAAAACCTCTTAATTTTAATAACAGATACTGCAAGTTATTTACAATAATATTACCAAGAATCGTGTCATCAAAAACTTCCTTCACTGGATATTCAAACACAGTTCATCTATCTTCAACACTTTAGGAAACGGAGGCCTACCTGTTGTAGAGAAGCACGTCTGGGGTCCAGATGTGACTTGGTGGAAGACGAATGTTCTTGACGCCGCCGTAATCAGATTGGTTCCACGCCAGAGTTGGGTCGCTCCATGCCTATGGCCAAATGATACCGGATTTTATGGTCAATCTTCGCGAAGAGTGTTAACTTCATCTTAATTCATAACTGGTGAAGTATACATAACGCGTGTGTGTTACTTATCGTGCCATAGTGTTACATACAAAATATTACGGAATCTTAGCGTATTACGGAGAAGATTTTCATTGCAAGAATTGTGTACTTGCCCTTTCCCTGGCACATTACTTTCTCTCTCCTTGGTGCAATTGTTACTGTCATCGCCATTGTCATAGTTGTCATTGTCATCGTCATCGTCAACACTTAGGAACCTACACATCCACTATCGTCACTGTCCAAAATTACCGCCACTACGACCAACAATCCATATTGCTAACACCTGAATCCCATGATTGTCAACACTGAAAAGCAATCGTTACAACCACAACCACGCATATCACCACCAACATCATCACCTTCGTCCCCCTCATAAACACCATAAATAGTCATTGTCGTTATATGACAACAATCAGCATCAGCCCCGTATCCAATGCCTTCCCCTTCTTTCCTTAATTCTAACCCAGAGCCCTTCATCCCTTAATTCTAACCCAGAGTTGAACGTCCAACAACCCCCCGTCCAAGAAGACATGCGACGGATCACCCCAGGTAATCCCCAGAAATGCCTGCCATAGCAAGCATTGAGCTCTACCATGCAACGCCATTGACCTTGATCAACCGCGTGTATTCAAGATTCACCAAGAAACAACCCAGATACAATGTTGATCACTTTGCCATCAGGTCAAAAACTATGTCCGCAATTCAGGGCAGCAGCACCGGGCAGCGATCCAGCGTGTTCTTGCCAACACAAACCGTGCCAGAAGAGTTTTTGAAGCCACGCGTCCAGATTTCTACGCGCCAAAAAGATGACATATTTTGAATAATGATGGAGGCTGATGGTGCTACGGCTCTTCCATCACGTATCTCTCCTTACCTAAACCGTGCGTTATGTTTATCATGTACCAGAAATGTATTCACTCTGTTGATATTGCGTAAACACTGCTGGAGGCTCTATGAACATTTTACCCTCAAGAAAGATGGATCTCTTCGTTTCAAACCAAAACAAAATGATCTATCCATCTCAATATTTGCTTTCCCTCTTCCCAATATCCCTTTTATTAAAAACAAATCTTGTTTGCATCCCATTCAACGAAGATCTCTGTTAAGATCGCAGATCCTGCAGATTTCTAGGTATAATGGTTAGACTGACCCTCGCAGGATCCGGCTGACACCTCTGCCGCAGACACGCAATGAATGCCGTTAAAGAGGCAACACGTACGCGCGGTATCTTCCGTATCCCGGGGTTATAATAATGAATCTCGTCCAAGTAGAGCCGGGTTGCTTCGAGTGAGCATAGCTGCCATGATGAGACTACTAGTAAATATTAGTGATTAGATTCACAGTGATAAGGCTCACTGGTCAATAGATTTTTATAGAACAACTTGGAATCACTAGCTCAACGAATTTATACTCTCTCTCTTTTACAAAGAGTGAAAGACGAAAATCAGTCTTATTTTGGATTGAAACACTCGGAAAAAAATCACTGGAATGGAAACTCGAGAGAATACTAGAGCTATTCGGTGGAATGAAATTCAATCTACATTGTCTAGTCCTTATTCTTTCGGTTAGATTGAGTAAATGTTTCACTCAAATAAGTGAATGTTACTCTTTGAAAATTAAACAAAAATCGACAAAGTAACAGGGCCTGATAGTTCGACATAAAGTGCTTTTAAGAAAGATTCTTCAGGTAGGAACATCAGACCCTCTAACTTGTTTAAGTTTTTTGTATATTTCAGGTCAATCCAGTTTGAACCAGATAGTTTAAGTCATTTTTATTTCGATATCAGAGAGTAGAATCATTAAGAAAACTCTGATTCTCTCAAGGAATTCACATGTCTGGAAAGTATGCAAGGAAAAAAAATGATGGGGTCAAGTGCGCCAAACAAGATTAGTGGGCCACACTGATGGATGGGTAACATGATATGGCTATATGGAATGAAAACGAAGAGAACACTATATGAAAGAGGGTACATTTAGGGAACTGTAGAACAGTGTGGCGACCTTTCTATGTACTTACATAGTTGAGCCATGCGTTGATGACTAGAATCTGGTCTTTCTCGTTCTGTATGAGGAAAGAAAAGCAAAGATGTCCTTAAGTAAATACAACTTCCATTCCTTAAAATGTTTGGTTGATTTGACGTTTCTCCTGAATCTTTATAGGTTTTTAGAAGAAAAAACATAACTCACAACACAAAGCACTTCACTGGAGACCAGCTGCATTTCGTTTTTACACCTCGTAGTACAAACTGATTAATAGTCACAAAAGTGTTTTTGGGCAGCTCATCCCTCAAACTGGTAAGAAAGAGGCTTACTCGTTCCAATGTCTAGTGAAGATGTCAGTGCCAAGGGATTATATAGTTCATTTATTGTTGATGGCTCAGTTCTAGGAATATCAAGCGTTTAAGACTCTAATTAAATAGGCCTACAGCGTTAGTGCAACAATAAAATCCATTGCTTCCTTCTGCAAGACATTACAGAACTGAAGTGTTGATAATGTCTATAAATACGGAGCGGCACATCGTTTGACATCATTTCGCAATACGCAGCTTTTCAATTTCATTAAAGCGTCTCAGGCACAGTCCAATCTACTGAAGTATTATATTTTGTAAGAACTCGGAATGGAATGAATTTGGTGAAAATGAACAAGAAGAAACTAACATTATTTATAGATACGTAACAAGATAGTGGGACTTAATGTGTCCGCAGGCTACATGTAAATTGACCAAAACTATAGGCCTTAAACTTTTGCTCTGAGTAAATGTTGATTTCTTTGTTTGGTCCATAAGTAAAATCAAGGATTGGAGTTTTTCCCCTTAAATTTATAGATAGGTAGGTACATAAACACAGCATAAGTCCCATAAATTCATGTAGAAGGGAATTATGCTACTTCATGAGAGCAGGCCAATTTTGATCTGCGTTTCGGGGTTTTTTGGTTGATGAAATCCAGGCACATGGCGTGGTAGTGATCAGGTCGACAAGCATCACGCTAACCGGTGTACACCATACACCCCAATAAACGTCAATTGATAAACGGCCAGCCGATCCAATCAATATGTCGCGTCGGATTTGCAGCTGGCAACTAGAGGCTTAGACTTATCACCTGGTCTGATATATATTAAACAGGGCTGTACATTCCTTCCAACACATGCAACATGAATATTAAAAGTTAAAAGATCATTCTCATTTTGAGAATATAATATATCGACTAGTGGTTATCTTTTGATCTCGTAGACTAAAAGCAACGATTTCAGGACGCGCGTGTGTAAGTTGAGTGGCATAAATTACGCAACTATATTAGTGCAAGTTGTGGCTCGACACTGCGTGTATTTCAAATGATTAGTGTACAGTGTCAAGCAGCTTCATTTGGCACTTGGCATTTTTGCTTTTTTTATGGACTGAAAGAGCCAGAAACTGAAACCGTTACTAAGCCTAGTTGGCTGCTAAGTTAGTAAGGTTTCATGAATATGGCCGTAGGACTTTACAAACGGTACTAAAACACTCTCTCACGCTTTTGTTATTACGAATGGAAAAAGGTACTAATTTTCACAGAATGTTCTCGCTTTGTTGCCCTGGCCACCAAATCTCTTAAAATATACCTGGCTTTATCTGTCTTACCATGCTAAACTTGTAACTAGTTACCTCTTAGCGGAGCCAAGATGGCGACTGCGTGATAGCAGCCCATCCGACGTCCTTGAGTGGGCAATCAAGCAAGCATCGACACGATAATCGCGTCAGACCAAATCCCCGATCAGAAACAGAGAGCGAGAGCTCCAAAATCCCCTCTCGATCCCTAAGAACTTGTTGACGGAAGGGAATTAACTCTCCTGCAGAAGGACAGATGATTTCTGGACCGACAGCTGAGCATTTGTTTATTCTTCCCGCAAAATGTACTTTCGTCGAGAAAGTTCTGAACTTTTCAATAACGCAGAGTGAATCTCTCTTTGATATTCCGGCTGAAGTCCAATGCTGAGCCAATACTGAATAAGAGCCACACGTTACTTGCTTCACCCAATAGAACAATGTATGTCAGGTATAGTCAAAACAGAGGTTTTCGATTGTTCTTTGTCTTTACAAATTGATTCGCTTATATCTGAATGATGCAATTTATGAAGAACGTGAAATAACAACTATGGCAGATTTGCAATGAAATCATGTCACAAGGATAAGTCATGCAAAACTTAGACCTGACTTTCAATTAATCAATTAATCTAATCCAAGATTCGGATGCTCGTTGGGGATCATCATTTTCTTTAAGGGAAGGGTCCTTAGCGTTTTGTTCTGGTCAGTATGCTCTGAATCATCATCCATGCGAGGATGCATGTCTTGACAGGGATAGATAAATGCGGGTCGGTTTGGTAAGGGAATACACAGACGAATTTTGGTGTCCTCGTTTTCTGGTAAGGGAACTCAATGGTTTTTCCCATAGTTTTAAACGATAGAAAGGGACTGTTCCTTTTCCTATTTCTGACTGGGGTAACATGGGAGATAGCCCTTAAGGGAAGGGGGGCGTATACTCCATGCCCCTTTCGTTACGTCACTGACACTAATGGATATAATTATTGGGTTTGTCGGGCTTGCACATAGCTCCCTCATTGTGGACAGGACTTTGTCCCTCTGTAATCGCAAGAGTAGTACATAATAGATTCAATGTCACTAAACTTAAACCTATGGTTGGATAGCTAAGTTGGTAGAGCACTGAAACTGCAATCCAGAGGTCGCAGGTTCAAACCCCGCTCCAGTCAATTTATTTGTTCAACTTTAAAGTATGATGCACCGAGTCAGTTTCCCTTTGTGGTTTCTTTGATTCAAACCTCTCCAGGCTGCTCTGTGCTGGATGTCTTTTACTCACCACATTCATGATCTGCTGGAGCATGAAGCCGATCTCGACAGTCAGTGGCAGGTCTATTGAGTCAGCTGGCAGAGTCAACGCTCGGTGTGGGAACCGCTCACTATCCAGTAGACGACTGACTAGCTGTCGCTCATGCCATCCTACATGCGACTGATCTGTTGTCATCAGAGAGATCGAGAACAGAAATCGAACTTTTTATTTTTACAAATAGCGTTATTTGGTAATACAATCGGCGGCCACAGTTTACATAATATTCATGTGACCTGTCACCATGAAATGAGCTTAAAAGTTGGAAATTGCCATTTTGCAGTACAGTGGGGCGAAGCCAAGATTTGAAGGGATGATCGATTTTTTTTTGGTATACCTTAATCTGAAAGTCCTGTTTTACCTTTGTTTGTTTTCAATTTGTTTTCTGTCAAATATTTTTGAAACCTAGTTCATCCTGTCTCCCTTAACTGGACTGTTCATTCATTGTATACACAACTGCAAGATTTTTTACCACATCAAATGGTCTATGTTTCCGTTACTGAAGTACCACTTCGTGTTACATACCATTGGAAAGCTCTTATTTGCAGAATCCAGATATAAAGGCCTAAATGTCTCAATTCATAAAAAGTCCAAATTATTGCTGAATTTGTGATGACAGGTCGCATATATAATCGTAACAGATTTGTTGGGTGGCAACAGATTATGCCTTTTAGTACATAAGGGTGTAACATTCATGTTCTTGTGCGCGCTTGGTATTGTCTACATATTGCACAACAGTTTTATGGTAATTTTAAAACCCTTTGTGGGTTATTCTAAAATTGTGTACTGATGACCGTCCAAACTTTGCACACCACTAGCAAAGGCTACGGCTGTGGCCAGGCACAAAATATCTAAGGTGTTATATCAGGAAGTATTATCAGTCGTTTCATAAAGGAAGAAAAGAAGAGGTTAAGGAGCAACATGAGGAGCTGAGAGGGAAAAAAGGGGCCGAGGGGAGAGGGACGATGCGGTAGATCTTTAGAACATCATTTGATAGTAACAGAGTGCAAGGAAGTGGTATAGGCTGAACTTTATGGAAGACAAGTTCGTCTGGTGTCCACATACTGTGAACGTGATTTGCGTGTTGCTCAAGGTTTTGAAGTGGAAATGAGAGGGGGAAAAGCAAAGAAGACAATTTGATTAATTCGAAACCTATGGGGTTTGTACACAACAAAAACTCCAGTGTTCATCATACCATACCAGTTCATGAACTAAATGCAACTGGGGTTGAATAATGGCAGTGGGACTATTGATATGAACGACAAATTAAAGCTTTTATCTTTTACTGTAACCGGCGCAATCAGCAAAGTTAACTTTCCTTCGATATCTCCTATGCCTTTTTTTTCAGAGGGCAACCTGGAACATTGTGCACAAATTTTATTGCAATATCATTCACGTATCAGAATGGTATTCTGCACCATATAGGCCCTGAACATGCACCGACATCTGAGAGCCAGTACTGTGCAATGGGAAATATGCATGAATAGCCGCAAGGGCCCAGGCTGTTCCCTTCAGCATCGTTGTGCTGTTTATATCTTACTGTCAAAATCACCCAGGGAAGACATATTATGACTTGCCAATCGTCTTACATTAACCCAAATTCCTCAGTATCTAAGACTAGACTATCATAATGCACAATCTGTAATCTTTTGGCTGATTTCACGTACGGAGCTTAGAGAAGGTTACTGGTAACGATGTAGACTTGCTTAGGTATCAAAGTAAGAATTTGATGTAGATTCTATTTTGATTAATACGAATCATTATACTTTGTGAGATGGCCATATCCCTTAATTGAGATACACGTGATATAAAAAGACAAATAAATCGATTACCAATCACGGGCAACTGCCGGTAATTGCATTAACAAAAAGTAGCGGATGTAATGGGTATTTGAAATAAATTTTATATGATTTTTTTACACAATCTTATATAATTAAATTACAGATGTCAATAATCTGGTTAGTAAACAAAATATTTCCCATCAAGGGCAGACTGTGTAATCCTATAGCCAGACACAATTCTGAAGGATGTCACGTGACATGACCCGACAAGTGACGGCACGGGTTATCAAATCAACACGGTTAATTTGAATGGCAAATTTCACCAGACACCGACGGCATGGACACCCCGATGAATGACCGAACTGCACCAGGCATCCCCTGTATCAGCCCGCCGCGCGTCTCCCATGTACTTGACATTCGAACGGCTTAATTTGGGCCGCGCAGAGGGGGTAATAAAACCTGACAGAAACCAACTATAAATCACTTCTCCTCCGTGCTTCCAGATTCTTCCTCCCCTGACGAATGCTGTTAAAGGGCGCCACAAGTTGGGTAAAACACGTTGGGTAATGTCATTTGCCCGACATCGGTGTGAAGTCACTTCATTGTTCGTTAATTCGGGTAAAAATCGACCAACTATTGACAATAATTTGCGCAAGATGTCGGCAGATGGTATGCTGACCAACATTGGGCAAAATACAAACTCAATTACCCATTTTTGTTGTACAGTGTATGCTAGTTTGAACGAGCATTGTTAAGAAGTCTTATAAAAAATAATAGGTTCAAAACTTGGTGTTCGCGGTACGTATCAAGACATTATCTTCCTTATTCGATCCTCAATTAATTGATGTTATGATTTTCCCCGCAAAATCTAACTGTCGTTGTCAACAAACCTTTTAAAATGTCCCTTGCTAGTACAAACAAGACAAGGCCATTAGCAAAAAACAATGGATTTTGCCCCGAATGCGACTTAAATAATGGAACACACCCCAAACTGCAACTCTTTGCCAAGTCTGTCCTCGCAAAATACCAAAATCGTTGACTTTGTTCCGGTGAAAGAAGTCCTTTGTTATCCGCCTGTTCCGTTCCGAGCTATATATAGCATAATGAAGTGGAGATGTTCAGTTGGCAATCTAGATTCACACAAACATGGATCAAATCCCATCTAGTGCCTTTTTATCCGCCTACTCCACCAGCTACAAGGCACTTAGCGAGTTGGAATAATCGACCGTACTCTTGTATCCCAACATCACTCTCCTACCCCCCAAAACAGAGCCCCTCCCTCCCGTATACTGCTACATGTCAGTCGATACAGTCTGGCCTCGGGCGGGCAGGATGGGTACCTGTTCTCGGTGAACGCATCCGTGCATGCATTACACGCATGTATCGAGATGCATGATTAGCCTATATGGCTGGGAGGCTGGGATTCGACCGCCCCCAGACAACATTGAACTTTGATACAGTTTGATCGAATAATAATGAATTTGCGCCCATAAACAGACGAAGTATGTTGTTTGTTTTGGTTCGAACATAAATAAAATAATAATGAAAATAAGAATGTGATCTCCCGCCTTACTAAAGAAAATTATTCTCCTTTTTTCGTTTTGAGAATTTGCAAAAATTCAAAAAATTTCAAAAAACGTATTGTTTAAAATAAAAAACACTACTAAGGCGAGCCAGAAAGAACTGTTAATTTGTACTGAAAAAAAATCATAAAGTCTATGCACATATCCGTAATCGATTTTTTCAAATTCCCGAAAACGGATCGAGAACAAAGAACTAGTATGAGACCAACCTTCCAAGCACGACGGATAATGTGAAGTAACAACCTTTATAAGGGGTTTTGCAGTGACTACAGTGATACATAAGTCTAATGTTACACAAGTTCACAAATTTCACAGTAATGAATCTGTCGCGATATACACGGTGATCACGCCATGGTCTAGTGCGGCCAGCCATGGCATTGCGTACTGCGAGCACGAATGACTGATTGAGGAAGCGAAATGTTTTAGTACATGTTATCGCGTCGGAAATTTAATTTACCGATTTTATATCAAATTACCACATGTACCTGAATGCAAGTCTTCCAGATCACGAATTCTGTGGCCTCTGTTTCTTCACAGTTACTACAGGATCTCTAACATTATTGATCACATAAAGTAGGCTAAAGACCTTAACAGGTTGAAGCTGTTACGAATCCATTATGGAAACATCGATCTAACGCCAACTTAGAATTCATGGGATTGTATAAAAAAAAAAATCCAGGAAAAAAATGATAAACATTTCTCCGAGCACTCAAAACGTGGCAACGCTTTCGAAACATGCGTTCAGAACTGAATACGAAGAATCACCCAAAATAATCGTACCGAGTTTTGGAGGATCACATTATTATTATTATTTTGATGAGAGTCGAGCGAGACAAGATTTAGTCGACACTTCAGACCTTTCATATACTGGAGGACCGCCACCCTTCCAAAAAGATGTGATTGATTGCTCCGATATTCGCACGGACATTACGAGTCCGGTCGAGAGATGCAGGCTCAAGTATTTTAACGAGACGGTTAAGGTTCTGCAGAGGACGGTCTGAAAATGTCAATTACATTCAGGGGCTTCGCCTCCTTGTAAACAAGAGACTTAGAATGCCAGGAACGTACTTCTTGACAAGTTAGATAAGAGGGGAATTTTAAAGATACACTCTTTCTTTCCCACCCCAGGATATCTTATCTTTCTTTCCGAGTGAAAGCACGCATCCTCCAAGTCAATTCCTTTTGTGGTGAGGCAAACATTGGAGGCAAAGCGATGGTCCTCTCAGTAAAGAAAACAGCGGACCTTCACACCGACCGACCGACCTGTCATTAACAAAATGTTTCGGAACGTTCCCACGAATTACATACCCCAAAATCATTTCAAAACTTCAGTTGAGTTTCCAACTTGTCCGGGTTAGCCCTAAGGATGTAAACCTTCCTCAAACACTTTTCTCGTATGCCTGATTAATATCATTGAATGAAGCCATATCGTTGTTTTCTTTAGATCAACTATAAGTCCTTCTCTGGGTTGGATGGGAACCACAGATTCATCAGGAAATCTCTACGAGACATGATGGTCCCCTACCCTAGCCCTTGCCGAGGTTCGTTTCGCTTCCCTCCTTCTTGTTAAAAGTATAGCTACTCCGTTTTGAATGGAAGGTAATAAGCATGACTCGTTCTTAATCACCAGGTGCCAATTTCATGCAGCTGCTAAGCACATAAATTTGCTTAGCATAAAAAAGTCCAGCTTAGTAAAAGCAGGGTACCAGCCAAAACTCCATGTGATTTTCATGCTAAGCAAACAACAGCTGAATACCAATCACA